ACCCAACCTCTACAAACCAAAATCCAAGCAATCCATACGGAGCACCAACGAAGTTAAAAACTTCATGAAAACTACTGCAGTCTTGTCAAGTCGAGAAAAAATCCGCCTAAAATGTTTTATCTTACAAAAAAAATACTCGATAAAATGCCTCTCTTTATAAACGTATTCGTAATAGTATCTCCGCGCTTTTCGATTTCTTTTTAGAGGAGTGCATTGCTATAGCAACCCTTATCGGCTACTAAAGTAGAGTTTGAACATTTTCAGTCAATGTTTTAGCCTGTGTAATATCATTTTTTTGATTAAGAGTAGTTGTAATCCATCTTTGCTGCGTCCTAGTGCTTCTTGAGCTCCAGAATCTTTTTTGTATTCAGCAGTACAAGCATGAGCTCGAATGATTGTCCCATCAATTATTTGCACTTCCAAATCTGGATCTTATGTATATTTTAACAATCTTTCTCAAATTCCCTTTTATACCAATTTTAAATCTCTTATGTACACTTCTGTAATTGCCATATATTTCTAATAAAAGTCCTCATTGGCAACCACTTCGTGTCACATGCTACACTGATTCCATGAGTTTTCTTAGATGATCTTCATTTTTACTGTGTATTTCTTTTATACTTTTCAAATTTGCAAAAATTTGTTTCCATTTTGTTTCTTATGTGTAATATTTCATTTGAGTTTCTCCTTGTTTATTAACTGGTAAACTACCACTTTCTTCTTGCTTCTTTAAATTTTGGTTTATAGAAGTTAGGGTTGAAGAAATTAAGAGGTTTTTAGCCTTAAATTACCCTAATCTCTTTAAATAGAGCTGGATTTTTCCTTTTAGGAGATTTTATTTTTCACTCAAAAACGGCTTAAACTGCCAAAAATCTGTATAATCTCGAATCTAAAATATTTAAATTACAAATTATTACTATGAATAACTTTACTAATATGACATTTTCAACGCTCATCTGGCTTAAGATTTTTATCTTGGCAATAACCATGATTTCTTGATTATTTTAAATCTCTTAGTGGGGTTCTTAGCTATATCGTTGCTCATATTATGGTTGGAATTGCAAAAAAAATTTGAATACTTTTAAAAAATTTCCTGATATGTAACAAAGGCCGAAGAAAAATTTGTATTGAGATATTAATAGATCTTAGTATGAAATTTCTTATTCAAGTTTAAGGTTTAGCATCACGATTTGATAAAGTTTTAGATCAAATGATATTTTAAACTACATATATAGTATGTAACGGTTACGATAAGAAGAGAGGTATCAAACTTATAATTTGGAAATCTAGATGTTTTATAAAAAAGGTATAGCACGTTTTGCAATATAATAAAGATGAAATATGAAACTTGTAGACGGCCCTGTTTTTTTAAAGTTAAAGAGAAAAAAAGTATACCTATTTCAAAATTCATATCATCACTCAAAATTGTAAATTCCAGGAATTAAGTTGAACGTCTAAAATTTCTATGCGCTTCTCTATCAGTAGTGCTTAGATTACCACTTTGACTGGGAGAGAGTACAGTTGTACTTCCGTCGTCTACCCAGTTGTTGTGTAGTATTTAATTTATTTAAATCAGCATCAAGAAAACTCACACTACTCACATGTTAAAAATTACTCCATTCTTTGTTCAGAAGCGCTGCCGTTGCTAGCACTGGTAGTACAAATTTTTTACTATCTTCTTCATTGTGTGGCATTTTATCCTCAATACTAATAAACATGCTTTAATTGCATATTCTCAATTGTTTAATTAGTATTAAAATTGCCCCAAATGTCAATTTTTTACTAAATAATTTCGCTTGACGCTTTTTCTTATGCGTGTAGAAACTTATAAGGTATGAAAAAGATATTCATCTTGCTAATTACAACAATACTCGTGGGTTTACTTTTGCAATATTACACCAGTTGTTATGAGGATATTATACACCTTGTGGGTGATGAATTTAAAAAGAAACCGGAAACTTCAATAGAGTCAACTATATCACACACAGAAAGAGAAGTGTATGATAATATATTATCTTCTACTAATTAAGTAATAATTATATTTGCATCTTTTTATTAGGTTGGTAAGATTAATCCATTAACCATGTAATAAATAGTTATGTCTAATGATTAC